TGTAGGGTAGGAATCCCTTCAAAAGCTCTATGCCACACTCCACGGAAATGGTGTTACTATTGAAAATGTGGCATTTTTGGCTTTGACTTAATGAGAGAAACGGCTGTCCGATAGACCCACGACGGTTCGAAATTCAAACTCAAATAAAACTGTAATCACGAGACTTTTTCAATGACCTATTAACACAGATAGACAGAACAATAAACAATAATATTAGGTTGACTACATCCCAGGAACCGCATTTCTCCCCACTACTTATTAATCCTTGTGTTATTTTGTATCTTTCTCTAACACGTGGAAAGCGATTATTTTTCAATGAAAATTGGCAACGCTGCAAAAAAAAAAACTCCACCTCGAATCCCACCTTTCCACCAATCAGCGGCTTCTATTCAATTGTCATGTCAAAATGCGACCTACAGATATTTTATGACAATTTCAATTTGTCAGTCAGTGCGCAGTGAGTGTATCCGCATCTTTTTCTAAAATTACGAAAAAGATAAGGATAAGGATACACTTTTGTAGCACTGATTCTGGTTTCATTTTCAGAGTTGCCAAGTATGCGATAATAAAGTGGGGGCCGAGTTACCGGAACCATTCAATCCCTACTCCTAGCCGCTTTCACAGCTCACCCCCCTGGCCCATAAACATGTAGTCAACCAAAACAAAGCTATTTTATCAATGGGATGTTCTGTCTATCTGTGTTAATTAGGCAATCTCAATCACGTGATTTTTTAATGGCCGTTCAGGTCAAATATTGCGGTGACAAGCCGGTGACGTTCATAAGGAGAGTATTTGTGTTCTGGCCCTTGTTGCTTTCGAAGTGAATTTTATCTGTTTCTACGTATTTTTCATTGGTTTTGGTCACATTTTTGTTTTCATAGTGAATTTTATAGTATTTAGTATTTCTACGTATTTTTTAGTGTTCTGGCCCTTGTTTTCAAAGTGAATTTTATAATGTTTATAGTGTTTCTACGTATTTTTCAATTCAATAATAAATTCTGAGATGGAGAGTGAATACCTTAAGGTATTGTTATTAAGGGAAAATCGAGCCTCTGTTCTGATCCTTTCTTTTAATTGCAGCAATCCATAAATCCCTGCGTTGTTTTGATAATTCATTATTGTAGATCAGAAGCCGATGATTTAAAATAGCAGGAACTGAATAAAATTTCACATTATCCCTGTTACCTCGACTTCCACACCCAATTACGATGCAAATCGCTGGCATTTTAATTAACACAATACCTAAACACACAAAAAAACACAAAATCCGATAATTCAAATCTTGACGTTTGTCCAGAATGTGACAGAATCAATGACTTACAGAATAAACAACACAGTGCTTGACCCGAACTTCCATATTGAATTTCGTTTTTGACAGGTCAGTAGATTGCCTAATAGGTCATTGGACTTTTTATTTAAATTTTTTCGGTAATCAATGGATTATTGCCTTAAACAACTTTATTTCGTTAAGATACCTAATGCCTGAAGGCCGATAAGGTGCTCTTCTCCACGAGAACGGTAATTACAATTGAGGAAGATGGCTGCCCCCAGCCCAGCCACACTCGACCTTTTTGGGGCAACAGCAAGATTAGAAAAGGGCTCTTCAATTTCCTTTTCCAGCATAAATAGATTACACTTGACATTTTTGAAGGACGACCTATCAACCTGTCAACCATCAGCTTGTAAAAAGTACTACGTTCGAAAACTATTAACGAGGTTAAAGAGCAACAAAGTACTAGGTACGGCGAGTAGATCAAGGTAGTATAAATGTAAGCGCCTATGGCCTTCTCGAGGTCACCGATAAAATAATTAATTCAGCCGGCAATAGTTGCCGCCATATGGCTGAATAATCATATAAAATTATAAAATGTAAAAATTATTTATATAAAAAAAGCAAGTGACATGTGCTATGTTACAATACCTGGATCTGTTAATATTTATATATTTTAAGAAATAGTCATTTTTTTTTTTTTTTTTTTTTTTTACGGATATGCGCACTCGCAAGGAAATGTCCTATCACGCTCGAGAAGCGGCAAGTGCGCGGAAATGTCGGTGTATGTTGGTCTTGAAACGGTTCAGGTTGTAACCTGCAGGGAAAACCGTCGCAGGGAGTTTATTCCACAGCGATGCTGTTCTCCAGAGATATGAATTCTGATATAATGAGGTTCTTGGTGCCTCTAGTTTGACAGTAAATTCATGGTTACCGTCTGTTTGACGGGTTCGCCTGGTAGGTGCTACTCTCGGAGGAATCATACGTGCCAACTCTTTAGAGCATTTTCCGTGATAGTACCTGTAGAAGAGAGATAAATCGCCCACAGATCTGCGATGTTCGAGACCATCCAAGTTACGAGTAAGTGCGGGGTCATTGATCATTAGTCAATATATGTTTCTAAGAAAAAACTGAACTTCTCTCCCTAGGTGAATAATGAAAATAATGAAAAAATCGTCATGACGCAAGGATATTGTCATGTTTCTATTGGGTAAAAAAAACAGGTTTCTGTAGGCACATAGGAAGTTACCATAAGCTGTTGATAGAAGGCAGCAATTTCAAGAAGGCGTGTATTAAAAAAAATTCCATATATTTCTCAGTAGAATAAATAAATAAATAAATAAATATGGTCTTTATTTTCCAGCAAAAAAAAAATTAAATATTCACAATTCAAACCCGAACGGTACAAGAAAAAAAAAAAACTGAGCCAGAAAAATGCCGAAGATCAGTTGACCAGCTTGAAAACAAGATGGCCTCTGCATTAAATCTTAAGCAAAAAATAAATAAAATAAAAATAATAACTTTTCCCAAACCTTAAGTCCTAATAATACTTATAAGCTAACTAACTATACTATATACCATATAAAATATAAATATAAATGTAAGTTCATACTTAATTATGTTTCCCCAAACTGCATGCTGTACAAAAAAAAAAAAACAAAACAAAAATGTGTGCCTACGGTACCTAATGTAAATGAACCTTGGATAAATCAGCAAGCAGACTCTCAATGACATGATTCTGTACTAACCGAGACATAGGTAAAGTTCAACAGCTGAGTAAAAAATTTTTGAAACCTTTTTTAAAACCTAATTCGGATTTCTCAATAAGCGAGGCAGGAACAGCATTGTATATTTTGGATATTTGATAAGTAAAACAACGTTTAAAAAATTCTATTTTATGCTTTGGAACCCTTATCCTGTTCACATGTCTCAAGTTCCGAGAGTGAGGATTTCTATTAAAAATAATTTTATTAAATAAATATGATGGCATTTTATTCAAAATAATTTTGTGGAAAAGGCATGCCGAAAGTAACTTCCGACGGTTAGCCATATTAAGCCAGTTTATTCGGGGATCCTTTAATTTGTGTGATATTGGGCATCGGCGCCTTATTCCACATATCAAACGTAGACAGGAGTTTTGCACAACCTGGATTCTTTTTGTATCTCTGGAGTCTATACAAGGCCCATAAACTGCGGAGCCATAGTTGAACCTGGAGAGAACTAAAGATTCACATAAAATTTTCTTTACAGGGAAGCTCACATACTGTCTCACAGAGAAAATAGTTTTAAGATTAAGGTAAGCTGATCGTATGCATTGGTTAATATGTGTTTTAAAACGAAGGTGACTGTCAAAAAGAATTCCTAAATTTCGAGCTGAGCTTGAAAGTCTTATTTCAGCACCCTGTACTCTGACAAAAAACTGTTGTGAATCAATTTTTACTCTATTTTTTCTGGTGCCAAATAAAAGAAAATTAGTTTTTTTTGCATTAATGTAAAGCCCATGATTTTTTGACCACTGTACTAGCTTATCTATGTCGCTATTAATTTGATTAATTGCTTGATCAGCATTTTTTGGTAAAAAAGGTAGTCGAATTTGAGTATCATCACAATATAAAACAGATTTACAAAATTCAAACACCTCTGGCAATTTATGGGTATAAACAATGTAAAAAAGTGGTCCCAAGATGGATCCTTGTGGAACTCCAGCTCGAAGATTCCTAGCAGATGATATATCGTTACCTATTTTAACCCTTTGGGATCTCCCAGCCAGAAAATCTGCACACAGTTTCAAAGGAATATCAGCAAATCCAATAGATTTTAATATTGCGCTCATAAGAGGGTGGCTTATCGTATCGAATGCCTTCGAATAATCTATCAAAACAAGTGCTGTAAGTTTAGTATTGTCCGCCTCTTTAATAATGTCGTCAGTCAAATCCAAAAGGGCTGTTTCACAACTATAATTCTTACGAAAACCACTCTGACATGAGCGCAGGATATTATTTGTAAAGACAAAATGTCGAATTTGCTCGTCAATAACCCGTTCTAAAACCTTAGAAAGAGTACACAGAATGCTCACTGGTCGAAGATCTTTAATTTCTTGAATATTATTTGTTTTCGGGAGAGGCCTTACCACTGCCTGTTTCCAAGCTGTAGGAAAAACCCCCTGTTCAAGGCAAGAGTTCGCAATATGTGTTATGTGTGGAAGAATTCGAGGACAGCAGTTCAAAATCGTTTTTATGTTTATGTTATCAGTTCCTTGTGCATTTGATTTGACATTATAGAGAATCCTTTGAATGTATTCAATGTCAATATTTTGAAAATTAAATTTTCCCCAACTTGGCTCAACGGATAAATATGAATCCAAAATATTCGGATCAATCGGTGGAATTTGAACGGAAGTTGTATAATAATCATTGATGGCATTTACATCTCGGATTAAGTGCGGAATTTCAATTTCTCCCTTGCCTAAGAAAAAGTCATTATACACCAAAGCGCTCGGTATATAATTGGTAACTTCTTTACCTAGGTAGATAATATAATATTTCTTAACTATTTATAATTATTTTGTTTTTTTTCAAATTGTATATCGTATAACGGCAAATAATCCAGATCAAGTTTGAATTTATAAAAACAGGGGAGAAGTGACAGCATGGAAAAAATAAATTTGACCCTACATAGATACTCACTTCTCCGAATCTGTGTCTAAATAAAATAAGCCGTATTACAGAAAATGTCCAAGTCCAAACAAGCAGCAGACAAAGTGACTGTCAATTCTTTTAAGTTCTACAAATCAGCAGGTATGTACAGCATTATTCCAGCAATGCAGCAAAATGGGATAAGTGCTACAATTCCCACGCTCGTAAAGCAATTTCGAGTCAGTTACTACATGCAATATATTCCAACGGTAAGAGTGGTCTTTTTACCAAAAGTAGGAAAACGCCCTAGCACTGTTCCTAAATCTTCACTACATTCAACATGCCTATCCTTACGAAGTGGATGAGTTAACGGCCTCGCACAATCTGCCTTTAACAAGACATGTGAAGTTATGGAACACTTTACCTTTAGAGAGAATTTTGAACCGCAAGAAATGGGTGGATACAGCTTATGCTTAGAAGCAGATAAAATAATGAATAAACCTACCTACTCAACATATCTTTATCAAAAGAAACAGAATCAAGTGCTGTTACGGAATGATTTTTCCTGGGTTAAAATAAAAGGAAATAAGCATATTCGCCTCATTGAACAGCATACCTTCGTCGAGCCACTGTTTTCTTTCCAATAGTTGTGGCCACACTTTTCTTCAAACTTTTCATTATTCCCAGAATCATCGAGTTAGAGGTTGAATAATGGAATTAATTTCCTTTTAGTAGGGTTAAAATAAATAGTCAATTAATTTATTAATAAATAAAATCACAATATTTATATTGGAACAGCTGATTGTCTGATCCGATTAGATTGACTAGATTGACAGCGGTCCAAATAAGGTCAATGACCGGTACTAACTTAATTTAAATAAGTCCCATGCCCCAACTACCATCTAAATTCCCCAGAACCTTTCACCTTCTGCAGGGAGTTTTGACAGAACCTTTTTAAAGGACATTGAAGGGACAAGCAGAGGTCTTTCAGGTCGAGGACTTTCCACGATTAGGTATTCGGGAAAATTCCTCAGGCACATTTTGCCAATTTCTGAGTTGTCCAGTTTTCGCTCATACATCTAGGGTGGCTAATCCGTTATTTTAGCACCAAATCGCCTTGCGCGGATTTCTTTGTGAGCCGAAAAAGAGCAAGGTGATCAATTATTTGTTCCTAAAGGCCAAAGTATTTTGGTAAGTGGTTTTTCTTATTAGTTTTCTCTGTGTTTCTCTATTGCCTATGTAAAAGCATAGTTTTCTGTTGATTATATGGTTAAATTCCGAATATTAGACATACCTCCACGCCCAGTCTCATAACGTCCATTTTTTTCAGGCCTTTATGCATCACGCTTTAGTCCCTAACTTTAAGTAAAGAGTTAAACGTTAAGCTTACTGTGTATTTCAAGTCGTACCTCCTGTCTTCAGCCTCCTCTAGACAATTGGAAGCTTAAGTGACTCCTAGTTACTGAACTTCAGTGCCTAGGGCCAATTACTTCTTGTTGCGGCCCTGATCCAGTCCCAGGCCATCGGAAACACTGGAAGATATCAATCCAATCCTCCAGGTTCCCCTCAAGGGATTAGGGACTACTCAGGTTTGATAAGTGTGTTGTATTGTCTTAATATCTGGAGCCTATCAAACCTTACCAACCCCTTGTTGGAGTAAATCACCACAACGACGCAGTTCTACAATATTAAATTACCCTTCAGATTATGTGTTGTTATTTCAATTTTAATTAATTATCTATATTACCTTTATTATAATATGAAACTTGCCATTCAGGTTATGTATTGTTAGGTACTTCAATTTTAATTATTTATCTATACTACCGATTTTTCCCATAATATTGAATTTGCCCCTCAGGCTATGTATTGTTAATTCAACTTTAATTAATGATCTATATTTCTCTAATATCCCATAAATACATGCTGCACTAAATACAGGAAAATACTTGTACACTGGGGTTAAATGGCCATTTACGAAGGTACCGCATTTAGTAAGCTTGTCTATTAATTTATATTTCAGGTATTATTGCTGTTATAAGTGTTATACAATACTCTTTATTTCTTTATTTAGGGACTCGAGTTAAATTATTGTAAATACTATTTTTAGAATGTAAGGTTAGGTACTCCTAGTCGATTTATTTTGTTCGTATTCTGGTTCCAGTGTTAATAATTTTCAGTGTTCCAGAGCGTTCGGAAAACCCACTCCGAACCTACTCTAGAATCAAACCTGTTCTGGTTCTAATTGAAAACCCGTACCTGATTGTAGCAAAGCGTTTCATTTCTATCTTTCCTTCTTGTTTACTTTTATATTTCAGGTTGTGCTACTATAAGTCCGTAGAATTTTCCTGCTTTCGTTATATCGGTTGACTTCGTGTACTGCAGGGAAAAGCAGGTGGCGCTCTATATTTAATTATTTAATTGATCCACACCCCTCTCCGCATTGGAAGCTAGTCGGCAACCCTTCACACGAAGTCCCGTTTCTAGATTTCAGCCACCAACCAACCTTCTCTTTCTATTTTTTTTCTTCTAGTTACCCATTTACTGTCTCACTTCCTCAAATTTTATTATTTACCTTTCAATCGGTTTGACGGGTAACAGTGCACAAATAATTAATAATAGTGGACGATACAATAGAAGACAACATATGCATATCCTCGAAGGAGATTTGGTAACCATCTTACCAATCCATCAGACACTGATTCTTGGCCAGGCACTGCTATGACAGGATTTGAAGAGGACTACTACCATCGTTTTGGCCAGGCAATGCTTGAGGACCTTGTTACAATGATGGCTTCAAAATGGAACGAGAGGTAGGTGTTGGCATGTTTTGGAGCAATATATAAGCTCGGGCCTCAGGAACAAGCCCCACAAAATTTCAAGCAGAAATACATGACAATAGATTCAGACGGACTAATTAAAAATATACAAAGTGTTTGATTTGAAATTCGAACAATGAGGTAATTTCCGAATAATACAACACTGATGCCAAGTGATCCAGCTTCGTTTGTGTATATTTTTTTTGTTCAAAAAATTATTATTGATCAATTAGTTGTTTATAGATGTGAACTTGACCCAAAAATCATTTTCATTATTTATAAAAACTATTAAGCAAACCTAAACCAGACATGCCCTAAAGTCATCAATAAACGTTATTGGCACGAATTATTCATGCTTGTCGCAAACTAACATCTTTATGAAGCAAAATGTTTAATAAAACTCGAAAGCCTGGCGGTGACATCTTTTGATAGATGACGAACTAATCGATTTTAGACCACTGTAGAAAAGCCCCAGAAAGAAAACTAGAGAGATAATTCTGCGTGCCATAATTTATTTTATATTATCGGGGTTGACCTAGTTAGAAGGGCCGCCAACCAGCCAGCATCCTATCTTTTTTTGGGTTAAATAAATAATCTTCATCGGTGTGCACTAAGGGAGGATAAATTATAAAAATGTTAGTCCCCTTGCACGGACTACGCCTCGGTGCTAGATAACGTTTTTAATGGTCCATGCGGTTTACGTTTTCATTATTTATGATTTTAGCAATAAAATTTTATCAATGATAAATGCAGTTGCACGACTCCTTCGATAATATATTTCTAGACGACTTGGTTATGACCTCCGTATGCATGCTTGCGGTTAACGATAATAATAAATTATGCTTGGAACGAGTCCAGCATCACACAAAAAGTAATAATTTATTATATGCAACTATAAACAGCTACAATTTAAAAAAAAACTGGAAAGTTTAAATCTTGACTCAAAATAACTACATAGAGCCCGAATAATATACAGGATTATTTAAAAAAAAATTGAATGAGGGGATGAACGGGATGAACCAAGTCATGTTGCCGGGACTGGGATCAAATTTGAACCTGCTGCTGCGGTCGAGGTTTATAAATAATCCTGTTATTTACATGAAATCTTATAAATATGGATAACGATTTTATTTACCCATTTCCTGTAATATTCAAATCCAATGTGAGATTAACTACGATTGAATAATGTATATTTTTCTGGTTCCAGGCTTGGTTTATAATCATCATCAGCTTAACGTGGATAGGCTCAATGGCTCTCTTCAGCATACTAGTCATCAAGCAAGGTGCTTTTTACTTCAATTCTACAGGAATGCATGCCTGCGAACCGTTCTACCCTAAAGCATCGTTACGAATATTAGCCGCTTGCGGGTTTTATTTTCCTACAACCATGATTTTGATGTACTGTTACGGATCGGCTTTCGATGTGAATAAACTAGGATTTAAGAGGACGACTGTTGAGTGTAGTGCCGTGATGACTTCGTCGATGGAAGTTGAACAATCCAGTAGTATAGAAAAAGTGAGTATGCTTAAAATGTTGTTTTCTGAAGAAACGTGTGTCAAAGGTACCTGAATGGCGGAAAGCTTATATTGATACATATAGGGTCTTCAAAGAAAAATTAAATCGAAGAGTGCTCTGATTACAAAAACGTCCGTCGCGTGGGTTCCACTAAATGGTCTAGGTGATGAAACGAAGACCTAAAGTAGAGTATAATGGCAGTATGAATCCGATGGCCCGAAAAATGTAAACGTCATTTATTATAATTCACTAATACCTTGGTTTACTTGCTGATATTGTAGTATAACATACCCGGGTTCGTTCAGCAAGATTGTACAGTGTGAATTTTTCATTAAGTATCTCTCTTTTAACAAATCTTCTGAAAAACGAAATGGAAATTAAATAGGACGTTGAAACTTACTCAATTTTACTTACTTGACATGCGCCCGACAATAGCAAAATTAGGGAAATTTAAGGAAAGTTGTGATATGTAAAATGAACGAAAAATTTGTGAAACGTCTAATTTATTATTAAAGAAAATCGTATGGTTCTCGACCTGGAACTCACGAGGGGAAAGAGCACGGCAGAGAAACCCTCGATCTCACATTCCTCAAAAATTAAAACAAACTGTGTCATTTTAATAAATAATTGTGAGTCAATAATCAATAAAAGTTTAAATTAGGTACCGTTCTTTGTTCTTATGCTAAAATTTCAATCCCACACACCAAATTCAATCAATACTACCTATATTCAATGCAGAAGAGTTTTTGGTTAGTTAGCCATTTCCATCAGTAGGTACTGAGGTCCCTGGCTACGGGAAGCTACTCAGCTATAGTTGTTATTTTGAGCCAATATCTAGATATAGATTGATTTTTCAATTTGTTTAATACAAAAATAAAAATTGAATAATGAACAATGGCGGACAAGCGGTATAAGGGACAAGCTTCTTCTCTAGTTTCTCATTTTCTATCTACCCTTCGGTACCTACGCTGTTTCTATGGCGCGCCCCCTTTCCCAAATACTTCACAGCGCATACATGGTTGCAAGATTTACCATTTGCTTTTCTATAGGAAACGTTTCAAAAAGTTAAGATTTGAAGAAATAATATTTCAAATAGGTGGTTTTCCTCAATATACTAATTTATTGAAATAGGTATATCAATAATAGAAGATTGAACTTCATAGTACTACTATAATTTTAGACTTTCAACGTCTGAATTTATTCCAAGACACGATGTTACGGCACAGTTACGGTTACTGGAACTGGGCATTATTAAGTGTGAAGTATGAGTATGTTACAAAATATCTAAATTGAACGGATTTCTTGGAAATTAGTTGCCTCATTGACCCGAGTTGTCTGGAAATAAAGTGCCCATTTAAGGGTCTCATTATTGCATTTTACATATTTCTCAAAATCAAGAGCAATGTTTTTGCTAACAAAGCTAAAGTTTCCAAATGTTGAGGAGCCATATGCTAGGATTTGGCTCTTAGGTACTGAATGTGAATGGTGAATATTCCTCTTTCAATCTTCATCTGCGAAAATGCCGTTATTTGGCTTCAGAGTATTTTCAGATTAAAACACAGCTTTTTCCATATTTTGCAGGTATCCATTTGATTTTCTCAGAAATAACGATAAGATACAAATTTGACAAAAATGTCTTGTTGTCTTTTATATCCTTGTGGTTGCTTATTCTACATCTGGTTTGATGTGGTTCTATGGTTTTGCCGACAAGTTGGTTCCAGAGGTCATTTTTCTTTAGGTTTGCCTTATTCCTGCCCATATCCTTGTCTACGGAGTCCTTTTTGCTGCACAAAGCGGCGGCTCTAGTGTATAACGTTTCGATGATATCATTTTTCTTTAGGTTTGCCTTATTCCTGCCTATTTCCTTGTCTACGGAGTCCTTTTTGCTGCACAAAGTGACGGCTCTAGTGTATAACGTTTCGATGATATCCTGTTTGGTCAATCATGTATGAATGGATTCATGGAGAAAGTATTATCATGAGTTCGTGACTTTCATAAACAGTGGTTATGATGTATTATCCAGTATTCGACGAAAATACCAAGTAAATGTAGGGCTTGGTTCTGTTATTTTTCTATGATGAATTTTATGGACGGTCTTAACGTTTTTGATTTTTTTTTTGAATCATTTTAGCTCCCGACGATTCTTTGTCCAAATTATGAAGGTGTCATCCACACATTGTCATCTGAGCCACAGACCACATTTTAGGTCATGTAGAGTTGCGACGATTCAATGGCATATTCTTCGAACCACTGCATATAAATATTGGCGATTATCGGAGAGAGTGAAGGTCATTGGAAGGCCGTCATCAGGTGCAAAATTCTAACTTCACCTGAAAGTAGGAATTTCGTAGAAAGGTAAAGCATATAGTTATTTTCTTCAGAATGATGGCCCAATGGTCTATCAACTGTCTCTGGCAATCGTCGATATTTACATAAAGTGGTTAGAAAAATAAATAATCCATTGAACCATTAACATAAACTCAAAATGTAGATCAGAGATGTGCAGATCACATCATAATAGTTTGGATAGTAAATTCATCATTTTATTAATAACAGTTATGATTATTATGCTCACTATATTTCCTCTCTTTAACAAATTCCACCATCTGTTTGGTTTAGTTCCTCATCAATTAGGTACTTTCTAACTTATTGCTTATTCAGGTTCCAAAGATGTGCCGGCTGGAATTATTGATATTATCAATGTCCTGTAAACACCAATATCCCAACAAGATGTTTCCATTTGTTGGTACTCATTGCAGGAACCCAAATTATTGTAAATACATATAAATAAATATAACCCATGGAGGGTGTTCTTGCCGCCAAAGATAGAGTACTTATCTCAGACCTGATTTTATTTTTCCATGTGGTGAGAATTGCCATGAGAATTATAAACTGAGTTGTCCTTTAGGTTATTTTCTAGTTTTCAGAATTGGATTTGGCAGTCGCTTTGTAAGATCGATAGCGAACATTCGGGTTGTAGCAGTCGCACTTATGTAAAATCAGTTTCGTTCAGAGTTAAAAATAACTAAACCTTCAAGTAATTTTGAGTTTCACTTTCTACTTTATTGAAATACCGGATAATAGGTACAAGACCTAGAAAAAATCCGGAATTACTACATTGGAGCCAGCGGAAAACTCTGGGTTCCTAACGGTTCAGTTTCGTCGACGCGCCCTGTATATAGTTGTAGGCTAAATTGGGTCTTTCAAATCCAATTTGGGAATGGAAATTGATTCCTTTTTTTTTTCTTTTTTTTTTGTTTCTCTTATTCTAATGGAATTGAGCGTTTTATGCCTAAGAATTGATATGGCTTGGCTAAATTTGGCTTCCAAAAATGCGCGCGTTAAACACTGAAAAGGAAACCGGCAAAGTCTTTACATTGCCGACCAGTAAATCAGTCGCCAAAAACACTTTGTCCGTTTCGTGTGGTTCAAGAAAAGAGACTCGTTTCCTTTCGTTTGCCGTGAACAGTTAAATCAAGACGGTTTCGTTTGTACTCCTTCGTATTGGAATTGAACTTCTTGAAAGGGCTGGCCAACTGAGTGGAGATTGGAAGTAAAGCCAGGCAAGGTAAAAAAATATCCTTTTCAGTTCCGATATCTTTCAATTTAAAATCTTTCATCGATTGTCATTGAAAGAGCTGGCCAGCTGAGTGAAGTTTGGAAGTAAAGCCGGATAAGGTGAAAAAATATCCTTTTCAGTTTCGATATCTTTAAATTTCAATTTAAAATCTTTCATCGATTATCATTCTATCAACAGCCTGTGGATTTTCCAGTTTTAATTTTGCACACTAACATGAGTGGCATCGGTCAACTCTGGTCCCTAACAATATCAACAACATAAAAACGTTTATAAAATTAATCATGGATGCCCTCTATTTCCTCGACTTACTCTTTGAGCACTCAGAAAATACATTAAAATCTTATTTTATAGAAATCCCATGTACGTGATACATACACCACGATTTCAACCATTCAGGGTCAACCAAACTGGGAATATTCAAAACGTTATACCTAAAAGCCGCTACCAACTACAACAATGAAGTCTTCCTAGACATAATTGAGGCAGACCTAAAGAAAAATGTCTACTCATATCAACTCGTCGTCAAAACCATAGATCCATAGAGCGACATCGAACCGGATGAAGAATAACCAACTACAAGAATATGAGGGATAACAACCGACTTCTGTAAATTCCGTACTCTCGCGGTACACTCAGGAAAAAATCCGATGGATCGCTGCAAAATATGGTCTACCAACAGTGTTTTAATATGGAAATTCACTAAGAGGCCATCTTCACAAAACTGTATCTACGAAATTTTTTGCAAATGTAGCATAGCGTATTCTGGCGAAACCAAAAGTCCTTTGGAGACAAGACTTGAGGAACATGAAGGCACACTCAAAAGGATACCGTAGGGAAATGCGGAATAGCAGAGAATTCATGGACATATCAAGATGGACACAAATGCTCACAGGCAAGGATCATCCATAAACAACGAAATTGGCACAAAACAAAATTCAAGGAAGCAGTATTGATGAGCAAGGACCAAAACGTATAAGCGATTCTAGCATAAGCTTCAGTTTAAACCCTCAATTTCTATGTAATAATATAATGTAACATAGATATTACTAATAACCTTGAAGGCCAGGTCAAATATATTTCCGGGAATTCAGTTCAATTTAGATATTCAAACCCTTGTAACGTACTTATTCTTCACACTTGATAACAGTGATCCAGTACGGACCAAATCGAAACTTCGAAGTATCTTAAAATAAATTCAGAAAACGTATATCCGAAATCTGAAAAGTTTTTTTTTTTTTGGTGAACCCTTCTAGAAATTCGAAATCTGTGTGTAGTTTAGAATTTATAATAAATAAGCATCTGTTTAAATTCGCTCATTACTCATACTTACAAAACCACAGCTATTTTCCTACATTATCGTGATACCATATTTTTGCTGATAAATAATCAAATTTAAACGGGATGCCGTCTTTGCACAGCG